CCTGCTGAAACTTCAGATTTGAAGTTGATCGCCACCCAATATCTGTCGATTTGGCTGAGGAATTTTCACACATCGCGGACATGTTAAGCATAGATACACATCTATATGACATATTTATTTGAAAATATTATATAGGCACAATTAACGGAGAAGATTATACAGAAATAAGTATAGGAATGAAATTTATCCGTAATGAACACAAGAAATGAATATTGACAAGTGGTAACTATGTGACACAGATATGAATTGTAGATTTTTGAAACATTCACGTACATGGCAACGATATTTTAGTTGTTTGTGTTGTTTTCTTAGAGCCAATATTAATAATGTTAATGAAGTTGAGAATTTCATAATGCTTTACCAAGAATTTTCGAAAACTAATTGGATTCGTGTTGGTCAGCTTGACAATCCATCAAGGTAAGTAAAAATAGTTTTAATTATTTGATTAATATTAATGTATAAGACATTTTTTTTTTCAGAGTCATGTTTCATAAATATTGCGTATGCCAGCACAGTAAGGTGACTTCATTAACATTATTAATATTGGCTCTAAGAATCGAGGTCTTTTCATTTATATTAGAAACTTAATTTGATAGAACCGCAATGATATTATTATTTTTTAAGAACTTAATGCATTCATCCATTATGAATACAATATAATTGATTATTCAGAAATGCAGAAACAGAAAACTACCACCAACAAGTTAAATACCCAAACAACCAGAGCTTAAAAATACCTAACTAGTGAAAATGCTAAGATGATTTAAACACTAACAACTTAAAATTAAAAGTACAACTATAACGGAGATGTACAATTGAAGTTTAAACATGACAGCAAGTCAAAAATCAATTTAATATTCCTGTTGACAAATTAATAATAGCTGGTAGGTAGTCTGGTAGTCAATAAATAAACCATGTGACTATACTGTTATCAGTTTGATAAATTTAGATTATAATTTTAGGAGCTATATCTACATATATTTTAATAGCGACATCAATTAATTAATAATTAATAAACGAAGTAGGTACCAAGATGTAAATAAGATAAACTTCTGTTTAAATTTTTGATATTTAGGAAGTCATGTTGTATATTCAGAGCTCAACTGATGTGCCATGTGGTACCTGCAGCGATTGTTCCCAGCTTTTTCACCTCTAAATACTGTGCATAGACAGACATTTAACATGCGCCTCGCATGGTCATCATAGTAAAAAAAAATACTTTAAAACATGTTGAATATGAAAAAACATTAATTTAGCCAATTTAGGACAATCAAATGCAAAATCCCATGGTAGAAGTCACTGAACATATAACATGTATTTTTCATTGTTTTTACATAGTTTTTTTTTCATTCGAATTAATATTTTATGACTTCATTATGAAGTTTATACTGGAATTACGTTAAATTATATTATTATTTGTGACTAGGTATACTGTTATCAGTTTGATATATTTAGATTATAATTTATAATAAACTTAGTAGATGTAGAAGATAAACTTCCCTACATCATAAAATAAACAAAATTTAATGTAATATAATAACAAATTGTTTAATCGTTTGCTAAAATAATTGGTAAATCTGAGTTTAAAATTGTTACCTCATCAAATTATAATAAAATTGAATGGTATATTTTATAATAATTGTCATTATAATCTATATAGGAACTTATAACACCTATAAAGTATTATCGGGTAAGTCAAATTTTTGAATTTTGTTAGTAAATTTTCGTTATTTAGGGAGTCATGTTGTACATTCAGGACAGTTAAATCACATTCAGAGCCCAACTGACAGCATTTTCACATGCGAGGTGGTCATCATAGTAAAAAAAATACTTTAAAATATGTTCACAGTTTTAAATGTTTTTTTTTTGTCTAATATTTATATACTTTCAATGATCGTGTAACCCCTACCTACCTCTGACTATGTAGGTAGACATGTATGTATTATTTTTTACCCACCTTAATATTTGTTTACTTAATACTTGCATAACATTTTAAAAAGGTTGAATTAGTTTAATTATAAATGTGTAAAAAAATATTATTTATAAACCACTGCTGATGTAGGTAGTAATGTAGTGTACCTACAAGGCTACAAATATAAAATTGAAAATAATAACAGGGTTTTTCAATCATCGATGAACTAGACTACCAAACTAGACGTCCAAAATTGTTTTTGCACCATTCATGTGAAGTTACAACTATTTCTTTAATTGGATAGTAATTTGGTTAGCTTCAGTAGCTACCATTCCATAAATTATTAAAATAATCATTGAAGATTGAACACTAGTTCAATTCGTTCCTCTAAAAATAGTTATGTCTTTATTAAAAATACAATACATATATTAATGTTAGAGCATGAAATTTTAGTAAGGTACCTACCTATTTTAATTAAGAATCTTTATGTTTTAGTAAAAATAAAACATTTAAGTAAGATTGGTATTTTGTTTCTATGTTAGGAAGAACCTAGACAATATTTTTAGCTAACACAAAAGGTGTGTACAAGTACAATACACTTAGTCCAGTAAGAAATTTAGAAATGTTCACTCTGAGGTAGGTACAAGGTAAAAAATAAAAATAACTGTGTAGAGATCACATTCTACATTAATTTATTGAATTATAATAACATAATAATATTGTTTGATATTAGTTAGGTACCTTTTCCTACTAAATAGTTATTTTAATTTGTTTAAATTAAATAATATAATATAATATTTAAATTAATATTATATTATTAAATTAAATTAAATTATTTGATAAATGATAAAAAAAAAGCGGGCAATTTGAAATGGGCCAATGAGAACTTGGTATACATAAGGTGCTCTGTGGCGTCCTGGGTTTCCTAATACGCCTGCGGGTCTGTGTTGTTGATACAATTCTTTAGAATTATAACCACAACAAAAAATCTAAAACACACATCGTTTAAGTCAATGCTACGATCTAAAAAAAAATAGTATAAAATAAAAAAATTACTTAAAATAAATTGTTTTTTAAGCAATAAAGATTATGTAAAAAAATGTTTTCTAAAACATTAATTTATTGTTAATATAATGAGTACCTTACACAGTTACACTCTTACGTTATATAAATCACCCGTGGTATAATCTAGCTAATGATAGATATGCCTAACGCGTACAATATAACATGTAGGTAGTAGCATTATAAAATCAATGGTAGTAGGTACACAATTTACACGGATATTTATTATTTATTAACAAACATTTCAACATATATCTGTTATTTCAGTTTGCCGTGGTCAGTGTGTAGTAAAAACAAAAAATTGTTTACGTACACACTACACATTTTTGATTTATCAAGTTAATATGTTGCAAAAATGCAACATTGTTTTGTACACGAATCCGGAAACTCTTTGTTGGTCGATTTGTTCGAAGTTAAGAGTTATAGCCAATAGGTAATAAGAATAACAGATTACTGTTTAGTTCTAAAGCTGGTCGCTGGATGATCGAAAGACCTCAGAAAAGTTTAAAAATGCTGGTTTCTTTCCATTATTGAGATATAGGTACGGTGTTTCCGAATTGCGGACAAAGTGACAAAAACCATGTGAGTTGCGGATGAAATCTAAAAAGGTAACATACGAATTGCGGACACAAATATAAGATACTAATTGCGGATAATGTTACAATATTCACGTGGTGAAATCAGTAGAATATCATATATACAGGCTGTTTTAAAAACTATGACGATAATTAATAATGACAAAATAATGAAAAAATATTTTATAAACAATTTTTTCCACAAAATTAAAACAATCTATAATTCAACAACATTTTAAAAATAACGATTGCTCTTTTGCAAGACACAAATATTTTTAACCCCACCTACCAATTTTTTTTTTAGCTATTGTCATAAGTTCTGAAAAAGTGGTGAAGGGAAATATTTGTGTCCACAACTAACGAAGTTTTTATTAAAAAAAGCTCTGTACGCAATTAGTATTATGACAACGAAGCTCGTGTCCGCAATTGTTATATTATAATTCCTAACCTGAATAATTCGTCCGCAACTAGTATGTGTCCGAGATATATCTGCCATTAATAGATTATTATTATTTATTTATTTATTTCTCAGTCCATGCACAGAACAATGGTAGTATATATCTATGGTTCAACATTATTTTTCTATATGGCCCACGGGATAAAATCCCACCCGGGGCAAGTTATAAGAATTACTTATATTCTATTTTTTCTTATAAGTTATAATAATAGTTATAGTGTTATTGATATTAAAGTACATGCAGTTAAAAATCCTCCGGGGGAAATGGCTCTTTGCCCCGCACCACTTGCGAGAGCCCTTGGAAGGTCCAGATTTAGAGGTGTGGGGGCCTAGGGTCATATAAGATTGACAATCTTACGGTCAAATATAGGTATCTACTTATTTTGTGGGGGCCTCTTATTAATTGAATCTTGTGCCCCCCCTAAATCTAGCCCTGCCACCCTGACATTTGAGGACATGGGCTCACCTACGATCTACCTAAAATGGCTAAAATCGAATTCATCATAGACATTTATATTTATACGGAATCCATCGAAGATCTGAATCATAGACATATTAATGATCTGAATATTTCGAGCCTTCGAGGCGTTTCTTCCATGAATTTTTTTATCATCAAAACTTTATCAATGTTTTCGACCAAATCTATTATCAAACTTCTGACTAGTTTCTGGTAGATGTCTACATCTTGTAGTTGTGGTCAACTTGTTTGTGAGCCGTGATGTACGTCCCCACCGTCATTATGTGTAACGATATTGTGTGTATTATGTGAAAATAAGTGGGTCTCGTATCCGAGCGCCGAGTATCACAGTCTATTATAACCAAAACAATCATTGAAATTCACTGAAACGAGACGGCAACTGGACCATTCAATTTCTGCTTGAATTGTTTTCCGTAACGGTGAGTCCAACTGGGCAATAATATGATTTGTTTGCCATAACACTACGTACCTACACTTCGTTGCGCGACTTTCGTCCGATTGGAATCTGTTTGAGAAATGGGTTCCAAAATAGAATATGTGGACTCGTCCCAGATGTACGCTACAAACTATGTGCGTAACGCCAAAGCGGTTGGCGTTTTGTGGGGTATATTTACAGTTTGCTACGCAATAATTGTAGCAGTGGCATTCATCACTCCAGAATGGATAGGTGACACTACAACGTCTGAAAATCCTGCTCGTTTCGGTCTATGGAGCAGCTGTTACTTCGGCAATGGTGTGTCGACTGCTGTCGAGGACTGCCAGGGAAAACTGGAAGATCTGTCCAACATACCAAGTGTAGCCATAAGAGTGGCGGCAATTTTTGGCAGTGTGTCTGTGTGCATTGCTATAATTATTGTGGTGATGTTGTTGTTCTTCTTCTTATTTCAATCGACAACAGTGTACCATATTTGTGGATGGCTACACGTTTTATCCGGTACGCTATTTTTTTTCACAATATTAATCGACCTACTTGCCTAATTATTATGTATTTCATTGAAATGGTATTTAATATTTAGCTGGGTGTCTGATCGCATCCATTGTTGTATTTCCAATGGGCTGGGATTCTCCACATATTCAAAAAACATGTGGTCCAGAGGCTAAAAGCTACAGTCTTGGCGACTGTAATTTTCGCTGGGCATATTTATTAGCAATCATTGCAAGTGTGGATGCACTTATTCTATCCGCTTTGGCTTTTATTTTAGCCACTAGGCATATAAAACTTCAACCAGAACCCTTATATGCATCAACATTGCGCAAAGGTAATTTGTTAATGTTTTAATAATATAGATAATTAAATAGTTTTAAAACAACATTTTTTTTCTTTAGGTGAACTCAATGGTGGATATTTAGGTGACAGTAGTGCATCAATGGCTGGTTCTAGAAAGTCATTGAATTTGCAACCAGTTATGTTGATGCCACAGCCAATGATGGACCAAGATCGGTTTTCTGAATTTTCCAATAGGACGGGTCGTTCTCATAAAGGTGCCATGTACAGACCAGAATATGCTTCATCTAGTATTCATAATTTTCAACTTTGAGGAATTTCTAGAAGAAAATATGATACTTTTAGGTTTTACTCTTTTAGTGATAATTGATAAGGAAGATAAAACAGGGTAAAACCATTATTACATATTTGTATGTATATTAAATTATTAGTTTGAAAGATTTTAGCCATTAAATTAAATGTAGAATGTTGATGTGAAATTATTTCCACTGTTGATTATGTATTAATATATTGTTTTAAAGTATAAAGGTCCCCACACACTGTGGCGGTGAATTGCTGCAGTATATGGGGGGAACCTTTAGAAATGTAACTATATATTTTTTTAAATTAGTATTATTTCAAATTTTGGGCACATCTAAATGTTAAACTATTTTATTTATATTCAAAATGTTTAAGCAATGCTTGAACAAATTGTCCAATATTTTTAAGTATTATTGTGAATCTCAGTGTCTTCATTTATTTGGTTATTTAAACTAACACTTCGTAAACAATGTCCGTCCAGTTATAAACTATTATCTCTTTATATTTTTATACTTATATTATTTATGAATCATGTTATTATAACTGGTTTTATTTGGTAGAAAATAAAATACTATACTTATTAGTAATTATAATCATGTATGTACTTTTTGTTGTTGTGCTGATCGGATATTATGTTAAGTTTTCTAGTCAATAGAATAAGAAAATGACTAGCAATTTTTATTGTAGTTACTAGTTAGATATGCAGGTTTAGATTGTGTGAACATGCTTAAAAAATCACCCTGTACGAAGCCTGGCGCAGGTATGTGATCATTCTTAATAAACTATGAAACTATTGAAAAATTTGAAACCACAAACCTTTAATCTCTTTTCTATGGTACAAACTAATAAAATATTATTATTAATTACACAGAAACGAAATTAGGAAAACCAAAATTATATTTCTATCATAGAATTTTAACTTTGAAGACAAATTCATAGGCTATAAGCATAATACTATTTAAGTAAACTTTCAAAAGTATGCAATATTTGTATGATCGCCGAATCCAACAGCGGCTGCAGGGTTGGGCAATCGAGGCCTTGTTTGAACCCATGCCCCATTGTTTTTAAAAAGAGAGAAATGTTAGGTTTTACCTGCAGTAGCTCAATTAATAAAAAAAAAACCTCTTACATGTTACTTGCACTATTATTCCCTACTCATACAGTCGCACTATAATAGGTAAGCATTTGGACTCTGTAAAGCAGTGGTTCTCAACCTTTTTTGTACGACGACGCCTTAATTTAGATCCATAAAAATAGCGACACACTTAAAAATATTTTTATGGATTTTTGAAAAAGTAAAATTTACAAATCTATGTAAATTAATACATTAAGGTTCATGTTAGCATTTTATTTGAAAAAAAAACAAATCTTTTAAATTTACATAACTAAAATATAAACAATTTAAATTAGGTATTAAAAAATATTATTATAAAAACAGTGTTAGTTTATAATGGAAATTATTGCGATACTTGTGATTGGCGAATTGAACATAGGTATTCGATTCGTGGGCGAATTGTTGACAAACTTACGCGTAATTCACTTTCAATATCTTTAAGCGTTGACCTTTTTTTGGTTTTTGTTACTTCTAATATCGAAAATGCTGATTCACACATTTAAAATGTTGAAAAAGGAAGCAAAATTTGCAACGCTTTTTTGCTCACTTCTGGGTATTCGTTTTGCAAAGAAATCCAAAATGAATCATTTTCAGACATATAAAATGTAGATTTTAACGTGGTATCTGATGATATTTCTAGTAATTGTTCTTTTTCCGTAGAAGATAAGTTTGCATTTTTAATATTTTCTTCTCTACATGGACCATATAGTGAAACTACCCACTGTATTTCAGTTGTTAGAAGTGATGGAAAATAACTCTTTAAATTTCAAGAAAGTGTCAATAAATGTTCGTACACTATATTTTTTAATTCCGTTTTTTGATTTATGCTTAAATGGATTATTGATTCTTCAACTGAAGAAAACCTTGAAAAATCATCATTTTTTATGCATGATAACCATAAATTAATTTTTTTTTGAAACTTTCCATTTTATCACTTGTAGAAATTATATTTTCTATACAACCTTGCATACTCGAATTTAAAACATTTAGTTTTTGAAAAATATCAGCAAGGTAAGCTTGCACATTTGATCATCAATTTTATTTGGATAATTATTTATGTTTTCAGCTTCAAAAAAAATTTGTAATTGATCTTGAAGTTCCAATACACAATTTAATATTTTACCCCTTGAAAGCCAACGTATTTCAGTATGATACAACAAAGTAGTGTGTTCTGTACCGATATTTTTACATAATTCTTCAAATATTCTACATTTTACTGGTCGTTTTTTTAATATAGTATATAATATTATATTAAATAGTATATATAATATTTTGGGGACACACACCACACCGGTTGAGAACCACGGCTGTAAAGAAAAGTAACCTACGGTTAAATATTTCAATAAATACTTTACAGAGTCTCTAATCCTTGTATAGACTAGGAACACGCCAAACAAAAAAAAAAATTTACAAATTACCCTAAAAATAAAAACAGAGATGGCTAGGTCGACACTGGATGCTCCCCAGGATGAGCCAGTTAATTTGTGAATGATGTTGTTTCTAATTTTGAGCTTAACCTTGGTGTTCTCAATGTGCTGTTTTAACAGTGCATCAAGCGTAATTCCTATGTACTTTGACATAGATAGTATTTGAATATTTTTCCACAAAATGGAATTTGAGGTTTTTATTAGTTTTATCTGTGTTTGGTATGAGCTGCGACGGGATAGTCACCCTTTAATCTTAAGATTTAATATTGTTTTGTCTTAACCTGAATAGAGTATACATCAGTTTGATTTTAATAATTTAAATTTTTCATTTTATTGTCTCTAAATTTAAGTTTTTAATAAGCTAAATAATTTAATAATAATAAGAAAAATTGAGAAACTTTAAACTATTGTTTTTGTAAATTGTGTTTGTGGACAAGCTCTTTTAAATAACTTTGAGTTTTTAAAAGAAATCAACTGATTAATACTAGATTAAATATAACCCAAGTATAACCATACAGAAAAATGTCCAATGTAATATTATTATTTAGTTAAAAACAAAACGCAAGAATGTTTAAAACAAATACAAATCATATGAAAAATAGTAAATGTATAATTTTTCTTCAAAGTGACATACACCAATGAAATATGATTAAATTATTTAAATTTTATGACCAAAATTTGGTTTAGGCGACAGTTCCAGAAACAGCAGCTGATGAACTAGCCTTGGTTTCCTCTGGGAAAGGTACAAGCTTATCAAACACCTAAAATATCAAAATAATTAATAGATTATAAAATATATTTGTTTATAGTGATCAATTGCTAACCTCTTGAAGTTCATCTTTATCCAACATGTGGTACAGTTTATCAGGTGTCACAGTAACAATCTCAATATTAGTAGGACTGAGTTTATCTTCCATAACTTGTTTCAGTATGTTGAGAATAACATTAATAGCTTCATTTAATCCCATAGACTAAGAAATAGAAATGATAAATAATTAATAATAATAATCTACTTACACCTCGTTTTTTTCCCTTAAAAATTCATAATAGTATGTACTTTGTGATATTTTTCTTGCAATGTTTGTTGGGCACCTTCACTACCTGATCCGATAGCTTTAGCATTATACTGGACATATGTACCCGATGGATCCAAATGAAATAGTTGTGGACCATTATTATCAATACCTGCAAACATAATTGCAACACCAAATGGACGACTCTGAAAATAAAAAGTTATGATTAATATTATAACTAACAACAAATACTCATTTAAATAATGCTTTGATTATATTTTACCATTGCTGGTTCTTTGCTATCATAATCTCCACTGAATTGTATGGCTAGATTAGATACAGCTTGTGCAACAGATTCAACACTCATTTGTTCGTTGTATGTAAACCAATGGTTTTGTGACTCAGCTCTAGCCCTTTCAACCATTGTACGAGAGTCTGCAATCAGCCCACTAACTGCGCAACCTGAAAGTTTTCCAGTATTTTTATTATAGTATAATAGTCTAGTAGTAATTATTTTAGTTTTCAGGTTTTCTACATACCAATGTGCTTGTCAACTTCAAAGATCTTTTCTATCTTGCTAGTTATCATTAGTGGTGAAGTGATTCGTTTTTCTACACCTAATACTACTCCTTCAGGTGTACAAATGCCAATGGCCGTGGAACCCAATTTAATTGCTTCAATAGCATATTCCACCTAATAAATTATAATAATATTCATTATTTAGAGAAACAAAGTTATAGTGATTATACCATATTCTGCATTATTTAACTTAGAATTAAACTTGTACCTGAAATAGTCTGCCTTCTGGAGAGAATGTGTTTACTCCTCTATCGTATTCTGAACGTGTTAAGAACATGGTTAAAAGCTTGAAAATATATCTGGAATTAAAATAAACAAATATAATATTTAGTGATCTTATACGGGTATTTTAAATTAAATAAATATACCTTTTATAAACATAATATTGAAAAATAGTTAATATATAATATATGATTATATAGGTACATAATCCTAAGTACATAATATATAAATAGGTTAATTTAAGTTTTTGTCATGTAGATTACTACAATACATACCTATATTACAACATATTATTTACTGGGAACAAACTTTACAAAGGATTACTATTTGCTTTACATATTTCATTATATTTTTTGTTTGAAAATTAAACTATCAAGTGCAGGGTATAAATAAAATAATACTTTTAATTTTTTACACAGGCCGTTTTGGAGCTTAGTATATACCTATGATTTCATACACAATTTCAATTTAGTTAACAAATTATTCATAAAATATTCACTAAAGAAATTTAAGTAATTGACAAAATTACTCAATACATTTTTCGAAGTATAGGTAGCTAGAGGCAGTTTATCTTTGTCATGACGTGATTAATTATGTTTTTGGGCTTACAGAAAATAAATAATTAAAACTTAATGCTCACCTGAATATATTTAACTTCGTAAAACACTAACAATTTTACGAACAGTTCAACCGTATTGTGTATTTACTATTTATGTGTTATGTCCGTATGACTTGCAAAAGCGGCTTTAGGTAAAAATTCACTATCACAAGTATCACTCTGTCGTAGTTTCGTTGTTTGTGATGATAACCTAACCTAAAATACCAAAGAGAATAGAGAATAGAATAGAGCAGGGATCACGGTTTAACCATAGACCTATAAACTAATGGACAGCGCTTAGAGAGAGAGGTCAGTGGTACGATGTACAGTATTAGTTTCGTACGTCTATGATTTCCCCCATTATGTTTTTTCTCTCTTTCTCTTATATGATTGTCCACCAAGATTCCCCCAATATGTTCTTTCTCACTCACTCTATATTGGCGCCACTCATTGATGGCTGGGTGGTGAGTGAGGTGCAGTCCATTAGTTTATAGGTCTATGGGTTTAACATACAATTCTATCTGTATTGTTCTATACCGCGGAAATATTTTATAAGCAATATGGTCTATTTCAGTATTTTTGTTTTGAATAATAAACATATTATTAACATATTGATGAACATTGTTTATTTATATTTTATTATTCTATAGTACCACAGTACCACACTACCTATAGTAGAAATATAACCATCCACACCTACCTAAAACTAGTAAAACTTATTATTATTTTTAAACATTTTTCATATTGTGCTAATAAATATGCCCAACAAATGTTTTGTTCCCGCATGCAAGTCTGGTTACTTAAGTAATACTAAAATATTAAAATCAGCAGGGAAAAATGTACCACCCATGTTCCATCCACCACAAGTAATATAGATAGTTATTGTTTTGTTTTAAATTATAATAATATTTTGTATACTTAATTATGTACTGTAACATACCTCTAACGAAACTTAACACGTTGACCACCGAGAGAAAGCCTGCGTCCACAAATTTTTTTATTATTCTACTGATCTTTATATAACATTTTTTTTTAAGACAAAAGAAAACTATACATATAAGTAGGTATATACCTTAATACTAAAATATTTTAAATATACAATTAATTATAAAAAAAACCAATAATAAAGAACAGTCTGATTTTGGCATAAATGCAGTTTAGCTCTCAAGCGATTTTTTGGAATTTTTTTTTTTCAAAATGTGTGTTTTTGCATGCCTAATTTTATGGTACTTTCAAAAAAGGCCGGTCGAACTTATTTTGGAAGTTATGGTAAAAAAACTTCAAAATGCTCAATTTTTTCAAAAATCGTGTTTTTGAATTTAAAATACCAAAAATTTAAGTTTTTAGAGTTTTTTTTTTTAGAAATGTTTGTATTTATATGTTCAACATTTTAGTGGAATCAGAATTTGCCTATCGTACTTACTTTTTATGTTATTGTCAATAAACCACATAAAACTGAATTTTAAAGTTATTTCAAACATTTGCATATTTGAGAATCTCAAAATTGATTTTTTTTTACTATTTTTTTTTCATTCGATGAGTAATAACATAAATAAGTTTTCGGTGAAATCAGAACCAACTTATATTTTTTGGTTTGGGAGAAATTGGTTTACAAGTGGAGCTCCGCTAGTGTTTTCGGCGCATAGCCCCCGTCGCCGAGCCAAAATTACGTACGGTCAACAAGTCTTGGACACTAATTGCCAAAAACAATACACTAAAATGTGATCACGGGCATTATCTTAAATTATGTTTGAGAGCAAATTGTCTGGACGGATATGTATGGAGATGTCGAGAATATTCCACAAATCCAAGTCGAAAAAAGTAAGTTCTAAAACTTTATTATTTGAAAATGCAGTTTTTCAGTTCCCTACAGTTTGACATTGTAATCGTTCTATTAATTTACCCATGCCTCCCCAGGGGTTTTTTTTTTTTTTATTACTTTTGGCCTCCTAAAAAAATAAATTTTATTTAATAAACTGTATTTTTCCAAAGGTAAAATGTGATGTTTATCAATCCATAAGGAAAGATACATTTTTCTACAAGTCCCACTTATCATTGTACACAATTGTTAGTTTTACGTATTTATGGACAAAAAGTGTATCTCTATCGTTCCTTTCTGAGGAGTTAGGGATTGCTCAACATACCGCCGTAGATTGGGCTGGTTTTCGATGGCATGATAATACATCATGAAAAAATTGGTAATTATTACCTTTAAAAGTTTAAAAGTTCAAAATGTAATAATTTGCTGTGTCTGAATATTTTAATATAACGATTAGGAGGAGTGGGTAAAACGGTTGAGATCGATGAGTCCAAATTTGGAAAACGCAAATACCATAGAGGACATGCAGTTGAGGGTCAGTGCAGGCGCGTAGCTAGAAATTTCAAAGGGGGGGTGTTATTCAAACTTAAGAGGACGCTAAGACGCGTGTCTTGTCTCTGTCTTACACACGCACGACATAACAAATTGTCGTTCACTATTTTCAATAGTGAGCTGTTAGTTTTGATACTAGAGTGAATCGACATATTATCAAACTTTTAGGTAAGAACATTATCTGGGCCTTAGCTTGGGCGATTTTTCGATACTTTCACTTTTGAGAAAAATAAGTGTATGGAAATATTAAAAATTAAAAATGCTCATATCTCGCTTGAAAATTATTTATTATACAAACGTATTACAACTTACCAGTGAATAGATAATATAGTTTAGAATAATAGTTCTCTTATATATAATTTTATTATCAATAAAAAAAAATGAATACATTTTTAAATTAACTTAATGTGTCGACTTTTTGAGGCTAGTGTATCTATTATTTCGTCTGTGGTTACGACTCAATCTCGATGAATATTTATAACAGCTAAGCCATTCAAGCGATTTTCACCAGTTGTATTTCTTAGATATGTTTTCAAGCGTCTTAATGAGGAAAAAGACGTTTCACTGCTTGCAGTTGTTACAGGTAAAGTAATCAATACTTGTAAAAGTCGATAAACAGTAGGAAATATGTCTTCGTTGCTGTCAAAGAAGGCTTCGGTAGCATTTTTAGGATTTTTATTTTTTATATGTTCATACCATATTGCAAACTCACCAATTGCAGATATTTCATCAGCTTCAATATCTGAAGAATATGTCTTAAGAAGTTCTTTAAATTTGGTCTCATTTTTTTCATTTGCATTTATTAAACAAGTAAATTGTTTTAATAGTGATTTATGGTTCAAAAATCTGTCATTTAGTTGCTCACAGAAATGATCCAAAAAAGGTACAAACATCAAAATCCTAAAATAGACTTCCGGTGATTCTGTTGAAATGCTAAAACGATTTGTTCGGTTTATAGCTAGTCGAGGTATTGAAGTAGTAATCCCCAATGATAGTTGATACCATAGAGTAACACTCTAATGATGAAGTTGTAAACAAGTTGTAAATACTCTGCATTAAAAGATATCTTGTATCGTACATAAAACGAGTCAACGATAAACTGACACAGAATGGTCTAAAATAATAATTATCTAATTCCGTGTGCCCGTGTCCCGGTTTAAATTATAAAACATAGTACACCACGGTTGAGGGGGGGTGTTATTACACCTGTAACACCCCCCCTGGCTACGCGCCTGGGTCAGTGGATATTTGGTGGTATACAAAGAGATAATGGAGCGTGTTTTCTAATTCCTGTCGAAAAGCGGGATAAGGAAACATTGCTAGCTATAATTAAACAGTGGGTGCTGCCTGGAACGCAGATAATAAGCGATTGTTGAAAAGTATGTACTTTATAAATCTATTTTTCGGCTTCACGTTTTGTTTATGTATAACTATATTGCAGAGTTACGACTGTTTGAATGATGAAGGATTCATACACTTTACAGTTAATCATTCAGTGAACTTTAAAGACCCAGATACAGGCGCCCACACCAACACCGTCGAGGGAATGTGGAGACATGCAAAAGCTTCGTTGTCTCAATACTCAAGGAAAAAACATTTCTATGGCGGCTACATGGCCAAATTTATGTTTTTAAAAAAATGCCGTATATTAAATCTAGACCCTACTATTATTGAAGTAGTGTTGTTTGGACACTCCCTTCTATCAAACCGTCCAGTCTTGTATATAAATTATCATTATTACTTATTGTATAGTTAATACAGATTGTATATATTTTATTTAATAAAAAAAATAAAAAAAAAGAAAATAAAAAAAAAAAGACTCTACTATTGAATTTTTCCGTTTAGCCGGTAATTTATACGATCCAAATAAATATAACAACGATGGGGTCGACGTTTCTGATGACGACGATACTGATATTATATAATATACCTACATTATCTAAATCTGTACATTTTGATTTGTTATTGTTTATTATTTTTAACACGTTCAATGCAATTTTAAACTGGTATTTGACATAGGAAAAGTACCTCGGGTCGCCTTTGTTGACCGTACGTAATTTTGGCTCGGCGACGCGGGCTCTGCACCGAAAACACTAGCGGAGCTCCACTTGTAAACCAATTTCTCCCAAACCAAAAAATATAAGTTGGTTCTGATTTCACCAAAAACTTATTTATGTTATTACTCATCGAATGAAAAAAAAATAGTAAAAAAAAATCAATTTTGAGTTTCTCAAATATGCAAATGTTTGAAATAACTTTAAAATTCAGTTTTATGTGGTTTATTAACAATAACATAAAAAGTAAGTACGATAGGCAAATTCTGATTCCACCAAAATGTTGAGCATATAAATACAAACATTTCTAAAAAAAATAAAACCCTAAAAACTTAAATTTTTGGTATTTTAAATTCAAAAACACGATTTTTGAAAAAATTGAGCATTTTGAAGTTTTTTTACCATAACTTCCCAAATAAGTTCGACCGGCCTTTTTTGAAAGTACCATAAAATTAGGCATGCAAAAACACACATTTTGAAAAAAAAAATTCCAAAAAATCGCTTGGGAGCTAAACTGCATTCGTTCCCTGGTTTTTAATACAAATTTAATGTTTGCATTATGTCATTTAAATCAAAATGTTCTCTAGGGTTCTTACATTCTAAGTTATCTCTTAGAGACTTTATATTTTTAATAAGAATAACAAATACAATGTTTGAATATGTAGTCTAAATTATTTATTTATTAATAATCAACGGACATACGCCCTTTAACAAGAAAAAAAACATTACATAATAATTGACACATATTAAACTAATAACAAAGGGATAAATAAAAATATAACTAGAAAGACAAAAAAAAAAAAAATAATAATAATAACAAAAACAAAATAAATATAATATAAAAAGCTACATAACAACTAATACAGGTATTCTGGTATAAACATTGTAGTGATCCTTCACTAACGCTTATATTTGAGTGACCGACGTCTGTAGTTGGACCAGGTTGATCAAAAGGAATAAGGTTTTTCGAAGAGAGACAAAGGCGCAATGTTAAATGAAGTATTTATTATAATTGAGTTAAACTTGTTATAAAATAAAATAAAATAATTGTTACAAAATGTTATAAAAATTTGTGGACAGCACGTTAAGTAACTGCCCGAGAACTAGTTAAGTCTACTTGTAGTTACTGGGAATGCACTTATAGTCTGGCGGCGATGTAGAGTGCGCGGACTCTACGACCAGGTAAGTACTACATGTAGGGATGTGAGACTAATTCTGATTCTAAGGTGTACAGAGGCTCATATTTATATGGTTCTCTGTACTCCCTGTTATACACGGTAGAGACTAGGAGGTGAACAAAAAGGCGAGTCGGCAGCTTGTTGTTATTGTAGCTGCCGAAAAGTGGTTTGCGACCAAAAGGTAATAAAAATTTGCAATATCATTTTAACTGGTTCTTCTCACGTCTTTGATTCTTGGAACTCGTAAAACGCAATAGTATTTGTGTAGACCATATGCCTTGCATTGATAGTTCCGAGAATCCGAAATAACATATTAAAATGTGAAGGCCGTGGCTTTAATGTAATAAAGTAAAAAAAATAGTGAATCGACACCGTCGGTTTACTACAACATGAACGTTTTAAAATTATTTATCTTGCAGGACTTACTATCTGTATGGAATAATAAAATACCGCGGAAAGATAGGAACTTATCCATAAAATATGTAGTTTGCGGTTTATATTTTAAAGAAGATGATTTTTTAAAATATGAGTGTAAAATGCCTGATGGGTCAATTAAATACATTGAACTAATACGTCCGGCATTGAGAAAAAATGCTATTCCGGCAATATTTTTAGGCTTACCAGAACGATTTTCAAATGTAGGGACAAAAAAGACCGGCACCAAAAAATAGGCAAGAAATAAAAATAATGTAATAATATCAAATAAACATATACCAAAACGTTTTTTTGTATAAATTATAATATTTTATGATTCGAAGTATAAAAATCTAATATTATAATCTAGGTAAAACTTTTTTTTTTCAACTAGCGTCCGAACGGCTGCAACCCGATTCGGTGATGCCCGCTTGAGCAGTGTCCGTTTTTTTTTCAATAATATTTATTTCGAGCGCAGCAAAACAAGCGTCAGACTCGCTGCGCCCGTTTCCACATTGAACGGCGCTTGGGTTTAACCGCGGCGGTCACCGGGTCTATCTCATCACGCCGGCGGTGGATTACTCCTGCAGCAAACTCGCGTTCGTCTGCTGTCTGCTCGTGACGTTTAGTTCGGATGCTTTCAAGCTCGGACGTTTCGATCGAAACTCGCGCCGGGACGTACACGATGTCGGCCGAAGTAAACCGCACTGCGATGTCCGGCATCGAACAAGGACGGCGGCGTCTCGGAGGATCCGCGATAGCACTGCTTGATTGCTGCACGTCCGCTTCGGCCCCACGCGATCAAACATGCAGCGGCAAACAGACGGTATCGATCTTGACTTCAACCGCAACGGGCATCATTGCGTTGCCGTGTTGACTAACGAAATGTAATAACGGAACTTTGGACTGGCGTAATTTGCCGCGACAATTTCGGTCAGGCCACTTAACGACTCGACCGAAGCCGTTTGCATCGAGTCGCCGGCAGACGGGGAATCGTTCGAGGCGGCCAACGACAACCCGATAACGGATGCATCTACCGCAAAAGTCGTCTGCACCGCGATGTTCGGCATCGAATTGTATCGTCTGATTGACGGGCCGGTGAAATCACCGCGACTTGTCAATTTATAAATTTCTTAGTTCGTCGAAACTCGGTACATCGATGCGGCGGACGGTGAGCGAATCTGGACTTCGGACGATGTATTCTGTACGACAAGTGCCGTGACACTCGACATGATCATAGGTACACTATGTTAATGTATTATTCTATATAAGGAAAGTGCGTTATAACTTTTAGAATAATGTATAATGAATTATTCGTATAGTGTTCGTCGTAACAATAATACAGAAATAGTATCATACTGCAGTGACACAGAAACGGTTAATATATTATATAGATAACGCTACCTATATAGATAACGCCCATAGAAAAAAATTTTTAAAAAGCTTTTGTCGCGGGAAAAAAATAAACATAACATAATATGTTAAACCTTTTTATTAAATAATCAAAAAACAGTAAATAAAATATCTTTCTAATAACTAGAAATAAACAAAATAATATAATAATGTTATGTTACTTTTAAAACAAAATATTAATTAATTATTTGAAAATAAAGATTAAACTTTATAAAATGATTACTAAAAAAAATATCATTATGAAAAACAAATTAATTTATTATAAATTAAGGTAATTACTTAATAAACTTAACAGCACCTATTTATAGTATTCAGTCATTAATTAGAATCATTTTCAGATTCAGATAGTATCACAGTTTCTTTCTTTTTGGAACATGATGGTATACTTTTATACCATTCGTGGAATTCTTCTGGTATAGCTTGAGTTTTACATAGTTTCATCAAATCATTTTTTTTAAGTGCTGATATTGGTAGGGGTTTGTCAATTTGTCATACAAGTTTTTCAAATGATCAGGAAACTTTGTTGGTCTACCCCTTCCACTAATACGTATAATATTAAACTTCTTATCAGAATAATTATATTTGAACTGAATAACACCACTCATATTTTTTTTCGTACTTCAATACTTTATCTTCAACCAGTTTACTTTATTGCCTTTTATATCCAAGGAACGATTTTTCATTATCTGATTTGCCAAGCTTTTTAAATCCAAAAAATCTGTGTACTTCAGTTCTTGCACTGTGTAGTTTGAACATTTTTTATTGTGTCTATTTGAACGAGCAAGATGACAAATAGTTAGACAATCCTGCATAGTGTAAACTGGAACATTTTTTTTGGCCGATTCTATGGTGCTATGCAGTGGCGTTTCCTGACTTTCGGCGTTAGGCGTTAATGTGTGAGGAAAACAATTAGGAAAACCCCCCTTATGGGAAATAAATTCGTATCAACTATTAATAATCAACATATTATTAAAATTATTTATTATATAATATTATGTTTTCGACGATCGGCGTTGCAGTCTTGCAGTATAGTTCCTATGGGCTACGACGTAAACAGGATAACGTGCAGCCGCGACGATCCCCACTAATGGTCCAAACACAGTGTATAGGCTAGCGCTAGACTAGTGAGTAGTGACTAGTGAGTAGTTATTATCAATTGAGAATATTGTTTTATTATGTTGTTGTGACTGACTGACTTCATAACAGTTATACCTTATAAAAACTTTAATATTGTACTGTGTCATGTGTAAACGCATTTGCTTAGACAATTACACAATTCAACTTTAGTTGTAAACCTAGCTTTTACCGTTCATAATAATACGTAGGTATATGATCACATCGTTTAAGACTCAAGTGCACACATTTTTCAATATTTTTTATAGACTAAAGTACGGTTTACGGATTCACTATAGTGTGTGTTACAGTCATATGTAAAAGTTCAAAAAACTATTTTATTTTTTCAGCAATTTTTACATTCTGTGTATCCGAGGGAAGCCAGCAATGTATTGGTTTTGCCGTTTTGGCACGTTGAATCTGAATGCGGTACTCAACAGGATATACTTAGCTTCCTAGGCGTAACTAGACCTTAAAGTTGGGGGGGGGCTCCAGCCCTAGCATTTCCCAAACAAAAAAAGGTGGGGTGCTTACCCCCCCCCCCTAAATCATGTTAAATAAATTATTAAAATTATAATATTGTTTAATTATTATAGTGTGTTTAACATATTTTTTGTGTGTATAAAACAAATTATAAAAAAGTGTTACTGAGGTAATTAATTAAATGATTAAAATTATGTAGAATCTATGTAGAAAAATTATACATGATTTTACACAGGACCATTACATACAATAATATAGTTGGTCAAAGATGTTAATAAAAAAAATTAAACGATGTATCAGATTTAAATTTAAAAATTAAGTTAAATTGGTAGGACTATAATAATTATGACAGGGGGGTGGCTACAATCAAAGTTGGGAGGGCTTAGTCCCCCAAAGCCCCCCTTCCCTAGTTACATCTATGCTTAGCTTATGTACCTACTATTTCCTGTATCGCCAACAGGGCAGCGGCCTTGTCTGACATAAACATACACAATGTTCATCAAAGTAATTTCACAAACGTATAGACTAGAAGTATATTGACGACTATTCGTAGAAAAATTGTGTTAATATTTTACTGACGTTTTTCACTTTGTGTATACTGTATAATATCACCTATTATACGATTATGAATTTTAGCTTTTATACAGAGCATGAATCAATAAATTCATTTTACAATAATGTATTTATATTTTTTTTATGTGACTATAAACATGGTTTTAGACTTTGAGGGTGGTTTCTGATGGCAACTTAATCTAGGTAGTACTCCGAAAGGTTAAAATTGAAAATTCCCAGTTTTTTTTTTCGAAAATAATCGGTTAAGCAAAAAACTTGTGTGTTATGAATGTTATGATACGTTTAAAAATATCTATGGATATAAGAGATAGTTTGTAGAATAACTACGTATTTAGATAGAGATAAATAACATAAAAGTGTATCTACTATCTAGTTAAAAAAATTAATTAATTTAATTTTCTAAAATTAAGTGAAAAAGTGTTGTGGCTATATGTTTTAGATATTAAAATGATAGTGTGATTGATTCAACTTAACTTATAAGTTGAATAAACAATATTTATAATAAACTAGCTGATCCCGTGCACTTCGTTTCCCGTTAAATGTACCAACTCTATATGACTCAAACATTGTTCAATGCGTTATTTAATATTCGGTGTATGATGTTCTAGATTTATCTTAACTTTTCTGTTGCCCGGAATAAAAATTCTGAATTGCCGCAGTACATTATCAGATAGGTAATTTGCCTGCGGTAGATCGCGGACCCCGTGCTGTTTGTACGTAAGTGTATGATTTAACTCAAAAAGTACCAAAGTTATACCAAGTTTGACGTTTTTACTTAATTCCACCTACCTATAAATCTTAACCTAACCTAACCGTACTAAAATCCGATGAATAAAAAAAAAACCAAATTTAACCCTTTTAAAATTAGCGTATCTTCTTCCCATAGGTCATTCATTTATATATAAGATATATTTACAAAAAATAATAATACAAATCAACAAACATGCCCGATTAACCAATAGCAACCAATATCTAGACACGCGGTAGCGTGTCAAGCCAAGTTCTAGCTAACAGAACTGGCGAGCAGCACCGTGTGTAATATTACACGAACCATTTGGAGCCACTTTTGACCCCCTCATAACTCAAAAACTATTCCACATAAACATGTCAAATTTGGCTCATATATTGAGACTAACGAGATACATATGTGCTCTAAATTTCATAAACACACTTCAAACCGTTATTTAGATATTAACGTCCGAAAATCGTTATTTTTATCACTGACTTACCTATAGATCAAAATTCTAACCCAGTTCCAGATGACCTAGAAAGTTCAAATTTGGCATACAGATAGGTAGTTAGGTAAATACAAAGGAAAAAATCAGAAGCTTGAAAATTTTTAATTTTTAATTTTTTAATTTTTAATATTTTAATCAATTGATTTTATTATAATTTTGCAATTATTTTATCTATTATGTTTAATTTTTCAATTTATTAATGAATTGCCTCTAATTTAATGTAATGTAATGTAATGTAATGTTGACTTAAATAACCTTTCCCGTATCGCCGCTCCAAAAATACGACTAGCCGAATATGTGTCGATATTGTCGACCCGCGCGCAGCAACATACTTTTTTTTCTCTCTATGTATATAATTAATATTATTTTTTTTAAATATTACAATTAAAATAATTAAATAATTATTCTTACAAATTATGAATTATCCACCCAACAGTAGAAACTACAGTCAATAAAATTATGATAATTAAAAATATACTCAAAAAGAGTTAAAATAATTGTATATTAATTTTACATATATTTTATACTCTGTATATACAACGGAAAATATTTTATAATAAATATTATTATTAATATTAGTAACTGAATTATATTATATAGTAATAAACTTTATTTATAGAATACGTCATGGCTAGGTTAGGTTAGGTTATAATAATTTACATACAAAAAGTAATGATATCCCACCAAAAACATATATGTAAAATGAGAGCCAAGTTCAATACTATAATATTATATGCCTTGGTTGTTGACTTCAACGACAAAAGAAGTGAGATCTAAATGGGTGCCAAGTTAGGATAATATATTGAAGCCTAAGGTCTGACTTGGCTATGAATTATATATTATAGCATTTGCAAGTTCTAAAGCTTTGAGTTCTTAATTTTCTTATTTTATTCTTCGGAAAATCATCTTCACTCTTCCATTACTGTTTTAGTAGGTACTTATAATAATAATTCGTTTTCGTATATGAAAAGTAGCCAAGTCACACCTTAGGCTTCAATATATTATCCTGGCACCCATTTGGATCTCACTTCTTTTGTCGTTGAAGTCAACAACCAAGGCATATATTATAGTATTGAACTTGGCTCTCATTTTACATATATGTTTTTGGTGGGATAATATAATACACCATAGAGTAAATAAAGACAACGGTATCGAGTTCAAATCCCAGACATCAATAAATAGTTTTTGCAGTTTTTCTAATTATTCGGTTGACTTTTAAAAATTTTCTTTCGTAAAAACCTTCACCTGGCAATTACGAACATCTTAAAAAAAATTTGAGCAAAATCGGCCCAGCCGTACTCAACTGATGCAATTTCGAATTATTTGTCTCCATTTTTATATATATAGATATATTAATTAGTAATCACCATTTCTTTGGTTTTTCAACTATAACTCAAAAAGTAATCTTGAATGTAAATTTTGAAAATACCATATTGGACGTCGTAACATGAAAATTAAAATTGGTTTACTAATTACCTTCATACCTGCATAGATTCACACAATTAATATTATCGTATATATAGGTAATATCGTATTTTGTTTTTATGAAATTACAATACAATGAATACAAAGCAAATGAACAATTTATTATAAATCATAATTAAACAAATATAGGTAACATACAACAGTTAAATAAATATTTTGAAAATGCTCTAACAAATTAATAACAATAATACAATTATTGACACAATCAAAAATTATACCTTGATACCTTCATCCTTTTCGCGTATGGTCGTGCGACCGTATGACCGTACGGTCTATGTGCGTGGAAGGTCTCCTGATAACAACAAAAATATTATATTGTATATATTATTGTAGTATTATAATTTATATTATACTTATCTATGGTCAATATTAATTGTAATTAAAATTCAGCACAATTAGCAAGCGGTATATTTCAATATTAATAATAGAAAGTATATTATTTTATAATCACAGTTCAATTTACAATGATATGTAAATTTGTGTTCAAAAGGCTAGAGTGTTCATGATATTTGAAATATAACCGTGGAATACCGATTTGTGTAGAGTTTATACAAAAATAGGGAAGTATAGTATGTTTGTACAGCTTCGGTGGTATAATATTATGGTTGTTTGGAAGTATTAATACTCACAAAGTGTTCTTCCTTAGATTCTTTTATTTCTCGTTTATCGTCTAATGTCAAACCCTCAAACATCGCCACAAGGAGGTCCATGGA